CTTGACTTCCCCAACATGATAGACTACCCCACAGACTTTAAGGCAAAATAAACCCTGCCTTGAGTTGCTTTTCTAAGGGTATTTTATCATGACAACAGAAAAAGCAACTAATACACAAAGATGTTTGAACCTATTTTTTCATATTTTAAAATGTGAAAAATTATTTTTGCTGGCTTGAAATTTGAATGCACCACTCACTTATTTTAACAATATTTTTGGTTTCTGATAAATGTTTTTAGGGTTTCATTTAATGTTTATGTAGTCCTGGAGCCCCAGTCCATACTTCTAACATGCTAGGTAAGTACCTACCACTCAGCCATACCAATTAGGGGGTTGATTTTCATAAGTATTTCATTCTTGATTAATTCTCCATAGTTTTTTTTACTTCCATTGTGAATTGTATTTTATCTAATTTTTAAATGTTCTTAAAATGGAGAGGTTTTTTATTATTCTGTTAAGTGCATTCAAGTTTAATTTGTTGTGATTTGGATAAAGAGATAAATGGAATAAAGATCATTTAGCATTTCTTGAAACTATCATATTTTCATATATGTTCTAGATATTTTAAAATAAATTCTTCCTCTCCTGCCTCTCTCCCTCCTTTCTGCCTTCCTCTTTTTCTCAGACACAGGGCTTTCTACATAGCCAAACTGGATCCATCCTGCCTCAGCCTCCTGAGTACAGGGATTTTAAGTATGTACCACCAAGCCTGGCTATTTTCTCTTTTTGTTGTATGTGTTTCCTAGATTATATGTTCTAATTTCATTTCTGTTGCTATGATGAAAATATCCTGGCAAAATGCACCTTAAGAGAAAGAGAGCTTGTTTTAGTTTTTACAGTCCAGCATAACACAGAAACAAGGATGTCAGGAACTGAAAACAGCTGGTCATATCACATTCACAGGCAGCAGAAGAGAGAAATAAATGAATGCATACACATTTGCTTGCTTACTTGCTTGCACTTAGCTCAATTTCTCCACTCTTATAATTGCCCAGGGAATGGTACCATCAACAGTGGGCTTGGTCTTCCACATCAATTAAATTAATTAGATAACCTCCTAAAGACCAACCCATTGTAGAAAATTCCTCCTTGTAACTATCTTGTCTGGTAATTTTAGGTTGTATCTAACCCTGCCAGGCCTAAAGAGTGCGAGCCCTAGACTTGCTGTGGATATGAACCAGTTCAGCTGATGCGGACGCCCCCTGTCTCTTCAACAATCTGCCAATCAGCTGCTCCTGGATAGATATCCCATTGCCTGAATTCCCTTTTTGCTTTTGACTTGCATTTCAGCCTTCTTGGGTCCCCTAACTACATCCCAAAGTCAGCAGGAAATAGCATGGAAAAGAATATGTCGCCCCCTTTTCCCTGGTTGAGATGCTAAGTCAAAAGGAAACTCCCTTACATAGGGAACAGTATGATAAGATATAAATGTCATTCCCACAGAAAAATCGGTTGGGTAACAACAAGGCCTGTTTACAACCCTTTGAGCCTCCAACAGGCAGGACTCAGGATTGAGACCTGTCATGGGTACATGGAGAAAGGGGGAATGTTGTGACCAGTTCCCCATTTTAGCAGCCATTACAGGCTAACATGTGCTTGCATGACCTTGCCGCTCCTGTCCTGGTCACTAAGGTCAGATACCCTCATGGCAAGGAACCAATCAGAAGTTAGCTGGCAGGGCTGTGCTTTACACTCTGGGTGTGCTTTATGGACAGTGCACAACAGTGACATGCAGAACATAGCAACTGCCCTGGGAGGGCCTATGGGCCATAACAACCAGTTGACCAATCAACACAGGATGGGTCACCCAAACCTGGAAGCACACCAATCCTGAGACTGTTTCATACCCCTAGACACTCCCCTTACACTGCCCTTCAAGATCCCTGCCTCGAGGTTGCTCAGGGTCTTTCTCCAGCCATTTGCCATGGTGGCGGGGTGAAGGGCCCAAGCTAATGGGGTTAGCTTATTAAACATCTACAATAAAAGACTCTTTGCTTTTGCATCGAAATGGGCTTCTTGATGATTTTGGGGTTCAGAATTTGGGCACAAGAGAGTCAAGGAAAGTATTCAAACTAAACTGTGGATAAGATTTTGAACCTGAATGAGTACTTAACCAACTGGCTTGCAGAGGCTGTTTATGCGTGAGTGATGAGAGGAGCTGCCCTTGACCATGAGAGTCCTCCTAGTACCAGACACTGTGCCAGGAACAGGCTAAAGTGCTTCCAAGAATGCAGCTCCTTAGTGTTAGGAGGTACCGATGATGCAGCCATGATGAAGACATTCTTCCAGGAAGGGGAGCGTAGCACAGAATGAACAGTTTTCTAAGTGAGGGTTCAAATAAGGTGCATGCCTTGTGGGCTTGTGCTTCTGTGAGAGTGCACACATACTCCTACCCACTTATAACCAATTGCCATCTGGGCATGTTTGGGAATTGCCGGTCAGGGACTGGGATTATAAGAACTACGGTGTGTTGATATCTTTCTTGCACAAATAAAGCCTGCCTGGGGGTCAGAGAATGAAGGGTGCCACTAGCTAACCATAGAGATCTGGAGGTCTGTACAGACAGGCAGGAAGTGATGTAGCTGGGCAGTAATAGGATATAAACAGGAAATCGGTCTCTTCTCTGTGGAGACGCTGAGCAGTCATCACGTAGCAGGCAAAGGAGTTTCAGGTACGGCATTCCCACGTAACCAAGTCCATATGGAATACATAGATTAATAGGAATGGGTTAATAATTAAGACGAGATAGCTAATAAGAAGCTCAAGCCATCAGCCAATAGTTTCATAATTAATATAGCCTCCATGTGCTTCTTTGGGGCTGAGAAGGGCTGCTGGACCTAACTAGGCCAAGAATCTCAAGTTACAAAATGGCGCCCAACATGATGCACAAACCCATGACCCGGAGATTAAGAGTCTCATGCTCTTCCGACTGAGCTAGCCAGACTCAGAAAAAGAAATACATATACAAATGTACTAGAGAATTTTAGTGGTTCTTTTTGAATGCCTGATTGAAACAAAAAAAAAAGAAAGAATATTAGCTGCTTTTCCAGAGGACTAGAGTTTAGCTCTCAGAAAGACAGCTTACAACTGCCATTAACTCAGGTTTCAGAGGATCTTACGCTCTCTTCTGACTCCTGTAGGCACTGGCACACACATGACACACACAGAGAAACACACACACATAAATGAAAATAAATCTTTTCATGGTGAAGACAGTGAGGTGGTAGACTGAGTGGTGATGTCTGCTTGCCATCTGGGACCATTGTGATGTCTGGATCAGGCGGCTACTAAGGGCCATGCCTGGGTCCTTGGTCCTACAGTAGCTGAGGAACCAAAAATTAAAATTAATAAAAATTTAAAAACTTGGTCTCTATACAGAGAAAGGGAACTTCTAATGGTAAAGGAAAATTTAACTCCTTAAATCAGGAGTGCTATGTCTGGTGCCTGAGCCCCTGCTCTCAGAGAAGGGGAGGTAAGTGTCCACCACTCCTGTTAGCATTCCTTTGCTAATTGCTGGTCATAAATGTCCCCTGTCAGTTGTAAAGATCTCCCAGCCCAGGGGATAACTGACAAACCCTATGACCCTATAACCCTGCAAGCCCATGCCCTGTCTTATCTCACTCAAATGTGTCTTCTTTAAAATATATAGTTATTGCTTTTCTTTGTACCTTGTATGACCCTAAGTAACCATGGAAACTGAAATTTGTGGCCTTCAACCTTATAGTCTGCCCCTTTAAAAGCCTCTCTTTTTGGCTGGTTGGCATCTCATTTCCTCTGCCATGGAAGGAGATTCAAACTGGCCAGTTTGAACAATAAAACGAAACCTTTTGCTTTTGCATCAGAAGTGTTGACTCCTTGGGTTAGTCTCTGGGATTCTGCGAACCTGTCACAACAGTAGCCTGGGTCTGTGTTGATGTCCATGGCTCCTGTTGCTATTGAGTGCCATGCTGATTCCAGTTGGGCTGGGCTACCTCCTGGGGCTGTGTTTGGGTCAAGGAGTCATGCTGTCACTGGGCCTCTACTGATCTGAGGAGCCTTTGCAGCCAACTGGGGCCATGGTGACAACCAGGCCTAGGCTGCTGCTGAAGACCATGTCTGGGCCCTACCACAGCAAGGTCTATGTTGATGTCCGTGTCTCATGGTGCCACCAAAGGTCACATAGAGGCCAGGGTTGGGACTGCAACCTGAGGCCTTGGTAGTGTTTGGCAGCCCTAAGGCTGCCAGAACCATTTTCACCTGAGTGGCTGTTCCTTCCACCCTGAGCCAAGATGTCGTCCTGTCATCCAGTCATGTCATCTCAGCTGCTGCCAAGGGCCATGTGTAGGTCCAAGGTCTACCTGCAGCTGTGGATCTGTGCTGATATCTGTGGCCTGTGTTACCTCAAGGGGCCTTAGAAACCAAGCAAGATGAAATCGGAAGGCCATGCTGAGCCGGCCCCACCCTTCACTGGCCCTAAGAAAGCTGGCCTTGTCTCTCACTGGACACTACAGCAAGATGGCCCCACCTCCTACCATAGGAAAGGCTGAACTAACCCTGAGGGCATGCACCTAGAGAAGCTGACTCTACTCCCCTCACCTGAGGTGGGTTGGCCCAGACAGAGCAGCTCTCAAGTTGACCCACCCTAGCATCTACCCCATGTAGGACCTGCAGGAGCTCCTGAGAAGACTGCTCTTGTGGATCAATACCCGTAAGCTCTCCAAGACTCGGGGTGGCTACGGAATATTAGAGGTGATCCAGGATCAAGTGAGGACGATGTGCCAGAAACCAGAGGCCTTGACCCGACCAGTGACTCACTGCAATGGACATTTGTGCTCAGGCACCAAAAGAGGACACTGGATGTCCTCCATTTCCTCATATCCACCTATCCTTTGAGGAACCTCGTGGGTGCTGGGATTCAAATTCTGAATCCCATGATTGTGCATCCAGCACTGCTAACTGCTGAGTCATTTCTTCATTCTTTTATGATGGTCTTACATGTTTTAGATGCAACACATGCAAAAGACATTTTGTTACCTTTAATGCTACTATGGACATGATATCAGAAGGTTTCATCGAATTTGCACAATCATTTCTCACTTAGCCCACCTCTGTTTGTAAGACAGCAGGATGTCCCCTTTCCTATTTCTATCACAGTCTGACACTGGGCTGTTTCTCCCCTCTCACACTGGGCTGTTTTTCCCCTCTCACACTGGGCTGTTTCTCCCCTCTCACACTGGGCTGTTTCCCCCCTCTCACACTGGGCTGTTTCTCCCCTCTGACACTGGGCTGTTTCTCAGCTCTCACACTGGGCTGTTTCTCAGCTCTCACACTGGGCTGTTTCTCAGCTCTCACACTGGACTGTTTTCCCCCTCTCACACTTAGAAACTGGATCTTAGAACTTGACTTTTCAGCTGTAGTGGGTGGTTTTGTTGGTGGATTTTGTAGCCTGGACTTGTGCTGTGGGACCATACTGTCACTTTCATCAGGAGAATGAGGTTGGAAAGTTATGTAGTTGAGAAAAGAGATGATCCCTAGAGGAGAGGGAAAAATATTGAGGAAAGGTTTAACAAGCAGATGGTCTGTTAGCTTTTAAAAATCATATTCATCATTTCATATTCTATCTTAAAAAGCATCTTTTCAGAAAATCCTTCTCCGCCCCAACGCAGGTTAATTTACCCTCCAGTAACTACTGCTTTAGACTATTCCAGTCTGGTTAGAACAAAGCTAGACTCTTGGGGGGGTAGGGGGGTGGAGTGGGGGTGATTGATTGGGAGGATTTGGGGGTGGGGGAAGAGGGGAGGGAGAGGGAACTGAAAGTGACATGCATAAAAAGTTAAATAAAAAATATATGGAAAAAAGTAATTAAAAAAGAATAAAGCTAGACTCTCCTGGATTTCAACAATGGTGCTATTGTTTTCTGTGTGCCCTTAATCAAGTTACTTGACCCATCCACACCTCATTCTGTGAGAGAACAAGTTACTAATTCTAGGCTTTTGATTGTCAAATCTATACTTTCCCCACCACACTACACTGCCTCTCCCCATAGAAACCTGCCTTGCTTCTGTTTCCTCTTGAGTCTACCTCCTGTTACAGAAATGACTTCCCATTCCTCCTCTAGGAGCAGAGCAGGGCACTGACTCACCAGCACAGCCATACAAGACGTCACTGCACCAATTAAGATAATAGGCCCACAGGAACTCTGACTCCATGGCACTCTTTGTATACCACTCAACCTGGGCCACAAACAGGTTGAGGCAGAGGAGCAAGCAGAGAGCTGGGACCAGAAGGAAAGATGTCACAACCTATCATTATCTATCTGCTTTGGCTGCCACCCCCAGCTCCTCTTTCATTTGCAGGGATCGTATCCATGGCAAAGATCAAAAGATAAAAGACTTGGGAATTAGCCAAGATGAGAGAAAGAAGGGGTCCTCCACCTCGGTATAAGACAGTTACGGCATGTTCTCTGCCTTGAGACAGGGCAGGGAGATGGCCACTTGGTAATGTTGTAGAGCAGTAATGCATAGGGAAGACCATGGAAGCCCCCAGAGAAGCTTAGTTTCTTTGTTTTACCTTGGTGCGTTACCTTGCCAGTCAGTACCTGAGCAGAAGCTGAGGATTGACACCTTCAGATCCAACTCAGAGGACAGGACTCCTTCTGCAGGGCGGCAGGAGTTGAAGAGCAAGCCAAGGCAAGTAAGCATGCAGAGGATAGAGATGATGAAGAAGGCCCTGGAATATTGGAGGTAATCTGCAAGGTGAGGAAAGGCTTGGTTAGCCCAGTAAGTAACATCCTAGAAGAAAGCTTGAGAGCTAGACATAGTGGCTCACACCTGCCATCCCAATACTCAGGAGGGCTAGGGAGTTCCAGGTCAGCCTGAGCTACATAGTGAATTGCAGGCTAGCCTTGGCTACTTGAGAGCCTGTCTCAAGCAAACAAACAAATGGGTCTGTAATTAAAGCTAGATAAAGTCTCAGATATGGGAGCAGGACAAAATAAGATGAAATGGAGTTTGCCATGTGGTACCACGGACACTGATGAGATCTTCTTCACTAAACTTTCATTGTCATTTCAAATACCTCTCTCCCATCCCCTTCTGATACATGGTTTCACTATGTATCCCAACTTGGCCTTGAATTCTCGCTGCTCCTGAGTCTGTGCTGGAATTATAGGAACACGCTACCATTACTTGGTTACATGAATTTTCTTTACTTTGAAGACAAAGTCTTTGTTGCCAAATTAGGGATAATATATCAATATTTCTTCCTGAGTAGTCATCATTAACATTTTATTTCATCGTTTTATCTTGTTTTGTTTTCTTTTGTTTGAGATGGCTTTCATGTGGCCTAGGCTAGCCTCAAACCTGTTATGTAACTGCAGACCTCGAACTCTTTATCCTTCTGCCTCCACCTCCCAAGTGCAGAGATTACAAGTGTGCATCGCCATGCATGACATTTCCATGTTTTTGTTGTTCTCCAGACAGGATCTCATTATGTACCTCTGGCTATCCATCCTGGAACTGTGTAGACCAGGCTGGCCTCAGTCTCACAAAGATCCACTTGTCTCTACCTCTGCCTCCCAAGTGCCAGGATTAAAGGCCTGAGCCACCACCGCAACTATTTTCCATATGTTTTAGAGAAAGGATTTTATTCTGTTGTCTGGGTCTGGCCCAAACTCACTATCTTACTGACTTAGCCTCCCAAGTAGCTGGGATTGATTGTGGGAATGCACTGCCCAACTCAACTTATCTCTTTGTATTATTTTTCTACTATTTGTATAGAGTGGGTATGATTATGAGTTGCTTTGCTGAAGACTTTACACTAAGAATTTTTTCTCACTGGGCGTTGGTGGCGCATGCCTTTAATCCCAGCACTCAGGAGGCAGAGGCAGGCGGATCTCTGTGAGTTCGAGGCCAGCCTGGTCTACAGAGTGAGTTCCAGGACAGCCTCCAAAACAATACAGAGAAACCCTGTCTCAAAAAACCAAAAAAAAAAAAAAGACTTTTTTCTCAGGTACCTGTTGTAAACATCATTTGTGTGTGTATATGTGTGTGTGTGTGTTGTTTTCATGTGTCTTTGCGTGTGTGCACAAGTGTATGCAAGTATGAAGAGGCCAGAGTTGGGTGTCTTCCTCATTATTTTTTTTGAGGCAGGGTCTCTCACTGAACCTGGCTACTGATTTAACTGGGATGGTTGGCCAGTGAACTCCAGGGTTCTACCTGTCTTTTCCTCCCTAGTGCCAGGGGAGTGGGGGTTACAAGCACATATCTGCACCAGTTCTGTTGTTTTCTTTTCTTACCTAGGTGTTGGAGATCCAAATTCAGATCCTCACACTTTGTACTCCAATTACTTTGCTGAATGGGCTATCTCCCCAGCCCCATAAATATAATTTTCAATGGCTATAAACTAGTTTGTCCTACTTTGCCCAGTGAGTGTATGTTGTTGAACCTGGAGTTTGTTTCTCTGGTTTTTCTCTTAATGATGTGTCTGGCATTTGTCAGGCTTATCAACTGGAAACTTAAAAAATGGAGTTGTACTTACTTTTGCTTCTATACTGCAATGATTTCAAGACCAAACTTACCAGAATACAGGAATTTAATACCTACAGTCTCTCTTTTTCTGAGAGCCTCCCAAAGCCTTATATCACATTTGTTTAGAAGTCTAGAAGAGTACAATCATTTCAGTGTTGTGGAATATTTTTTTTTAAGTTTTTTCGAGACAGGGTTTCTCTGTGGCTTTGGAGGCTGTCCTGGAACTAGCTCTGTAGACCAGGCTGGCCTCGAACTCACAGAGATCCGCCTGTCTCTGCCTCCCAAGTGCTGGGATTAAAGGCGTGCACCACCAACGCCTGGCTTGTGGAATATTATTTAAACTATATAAATGCGTGTTACATTTGCTTATGCTGCAGAATATTACTTTAACTGTGTAAATGTGTATTACATTTGTTCATGCCACATTTTTAATGATGTAAAGAAGTATGTTTAATTATGTAAAGACGTGTTGCATTTGGTTCACCTTCCCTGCCTAAGGCACCTGATTGGCCTAACAAAGAGCTGAAGGGCCAACTGCTAGGCAGAAGAGGGATAGGCAAGGCTGGTGAGCAGAGAGAATAAATAGGAGGAGAAATATAGGCTCAAGAGAAGAACAACAGGGAGAAGAGAGAAGGATAGAGATGCCTGGGGCCAGAAAACAGGCAGCCACCAGCCAGCCAGACATAGAGACAGCAGGAAAATAAGATTAAAGAAAGGTAAAAAGTCCTGAGGCAAAACATAAAGAGAAACAGATTAAAATAAGAGCTAAGATAGGGTCGAGCATTCATAACAAATATTAAAATCTCCATGTCATTATTTGGGAGCTGGTTGGTGTATAAAAAATAAAAAGTAAAAGTAAAAAAAGTATACAGGTACTTTCCTATTCTATTACCCAAGTGCCAGCCCCTTTCTTCTTGAGCTCTGTCTGTCTGTCTCTGTCTGTCTGTCTCTCTGAGAAAGGGTATCACTATGTAGCCCAGGCTGGCCTAGAGCTCACTATGTATCCCAGGCTGGCCATGAACTCTGCCTCCAGAGTGCAGGGACCCTTTCTTCTCTCTTCTCTTAGTTTTTTTGTTTGTTTGTTTTGTTTTTGTTTTTCAAGACAGGGTTTCTCTGTAGCTTTGGATCCTGTCCTGGAACTTGCTCTGTAGACCAGGCTGGTTTTTAACTCACAGAGATCCTCCTGCCTATACCTCTGGAGTGCTGGGAATAAAGCTGTGCGCCACCACTCCCTGGTCTTCTCTTAGTTCTGCCAGAGAGTGGATGTTGACTCTAGAGTAAGGGTGCGTGGGAGGTACATTCCCAACCGGAAACCTATCCCTCCTCCAGCTTCCCCATTGGCATTTTACTGAAGACTTAATAAGCAGAAATTTCCACCAGGTAGCATCCTTTCTGAGCTACTATAGACTATGATCTCTTCTTCATCATTTGTATGGGGCATGCCTCTCCAGTTTCTTTCATTATGTAATTGAATCAGGAAATAGCTCTGTCCTATCACTGAAAGTTCTAGAAGAATTGCTGTTTCATTTTATCTGTGCTTGGGATTAAACCTGGGACCAGGCATCCTACCACTCTACTCAAGACACCACTCTTTTAATTTTGTTTTCATTGCTTTATGTGTATGGGTGTTCTGTCTACATGGATGCCTGTCCACCACATGTGCATGTAGTGTGCATGGAGGCCAGAAGAGGGTGTTGGATCCCCCCAGAACTGGTTGTAAACCACCATGTGGTAGCTCGGAATCAAACCCAGGTCCTCTGGAAGAGCCACGAGTGCTCTTAACCACTGAGCTGTCTCTCCAGGACCACACACTGCTGCTTTTTTAAAAGTCTTCAGTATTCACTCTTGGGCTAATCTTGAACTCAAGATAATCCTGTGGATTCCTCCCAAGTACTGGGATTACAGGAGTAAGTGATCACATCCAGCCTCTCTAAACACAGTTAAGCTTAGAAATCCAAGTCCAGTTTCCAAGCAACCTAGAAAAAAGATGTGTATCAAGATTAATTTAATTTGTCAGGAAGGGGGGCACATGCTTTTGATCCCAGTACTTGGGAGGCAGATGCAAGCAGATATTTATGATTTCAAGCCAGCCTGGTCTACATTATGAGTTCCAAGACAGTCAGAGCTACATAGTTGAGACCCTGTCTCAAAACAAACAAACAAACAAAGATTATTTCAATTTTATCCAAGTGAGGTAGTACAACACAGGTAATACCAGCATTTAGGATGTACAGGCAAGAAGATGAGAAAGAAGTTCTAGGTTGCCCTCAACTACATAGTCAGCTGAAGGCCAGAGAAGGCTACTCGAGACCCTTTCTTTACAATTTTTTAAAAAAGCATGCTAAACAAAAGAAAACTGTTTTAAAAAAAAAGATCTGCTTCATAAATTTCATTTTGTTCTCTATAGCCTGTTCCTTATAATAAAAAATAATCATTTCCAGCCAGGAAGTGGTGGCACACGCCTTTAATCCCAGCATTCAGGAGGCAGAGGCAGGTGTATCTCTATGAGTTCAAGATCAACCTGGTCTACAAAGGCCTAGTTCCAGGACAGTTTTCAAAGCTGCAGAAAAACCCTGTCTCAAAAAACACAACAAAAACAAACAAACAAACAAAAAAGAAAATAACTTAAAGGCAGCATATATCCTAAAGACTGGATCACTGAGAATGAGTTCATGTAATCTTGACAGATTCAGCCCAGGTGGTTCTGTATGAAGCCCTGTGACCTAGGTATCTTTTGCAGTATTTAGTTCTCAATACCCCAATCAGTCCTTGTCTGCCACAGGGATCTTGACCCAAATTGGATCTTGATTATTTTGCTTGGAAATGTGGATTTCCTCCTTTGCATGTGTGAACTAATGAGCTGTAAGGCTAAGCTTGGATATCACTTTTTGGCACTGACACATTAATAAACAGGAAAACCTGGACTGTGGAGATAAAACAAAACATAAACAAAGATGAGCGTCAACTGGACATTAGAGAGCTGGAGTGACTCCACGGCTTGATTTTCTTTGTCTGAGAGCCTAGTCTTGAGTCCCTTCGCACCCTCTGCACTTCCTGCTCTTGACAGTTTATGACATTCTTATCTTTAAAAAAGTTCACCCTTAAGCTTACACTAGTTCACATGATTCTGGTGTGTGTGTGTGTGTGTGTGTGTGTGTGTGTGTGTGTGTGTGTGTAGGTGGGGGCAGCAAGATGGCAGATGGCTCACTGGATACTGGGTGAAGGCACTTGATGCCTAGCCTAAAAGCCTGAGTGGCAGCCAGTTGGTGGTGGCACACACCTTTAATCCCAGAACCTGGGAGGCAGAGGCAGGTGGATCTCTTCGAGTTGCAGGTCAGCCTAGTCTACAGAGTGAGTTCCAGGACAGCCATGGCTGTTACACAGAGAAACCCTGTCTCAAAAAAAACAAAACACAAAAACTGACTTGGATCCCTGGGACCCATGGAGTGGAAGGAGAAAACTAACTCTGGAAAGTTGTGCTCTGACTTCCACAAATGTGCCATGGCATACACATGCTCCTATATACACAAAGTCTGGCTATGTTACCAAGGCTGGGCTCAGACTCATAATCTTCCTCCACCTCCAGGGGATGAGATTATAGGCATGTGCTGTCATGCTTAACATATTTTTCCCCTGAGACAAGATCACAAGATAATTTTTCTTTTTAAGATAGTTTTGTGGGGCTGGAGAGATGGCTCAGAGGTTAAGAGCACTGATTGCTCTTCCAGAGGTCCTGAGTTCAATTCCCAGCAACCACATGGTGACTCACAACCATCTACAATTCATCTGTTGCCCTCTTCTGGCATGTAGGCAGAACACTTATGTGTAATAAATAAATAAATCTTTAAAAAAAAAGATAGTTTTGTGTAGCCTGGTTTTCTAACACTGCCTTTTGAGTGCTGGGGTTATAACCAGGTTATAACCATACTAGGCTAATGCTTTGTATAAGCCTTGCACAAGGTAGGCAAGCATGTTGCCTACTTACCCACACCACAGCCCTCTACATTTGGGGTACAGTGAGACAGGGTAGCTCTTGCTGTCCTAGAACTTACTATGTAGACCAATCAGGCTGGCCTCAAACTTGCAGAGATCCTCCTAATGCTGGGATTAAATTGTGAATCACTATATCTGGCACCCTCCATTTTAATTAATTCGTTAATTAATTTATTTATTTAGCTTGCAGAACTGGATACTGGTGATGGCTTCCTGCTGCATCAACTAGCAGACACATTCACAATCTGATCTTAATATTCAAAGGATGAAGGCACACTGGTTGAGAGTTCTGTCTAAGATACAAAGTGAATACTCTCTTTCCCCATAAGGGTAATACGCACTTCTATTCATCTCACAGTCTTCTCCAACTTCACCCCTCTGCCCCTGAAAAACTACATGGATCCTTGCAGCTTCATGGGAACAAGAAAATCTTGACTTCAAAGAGTCCTACCCTCTCAATTAACCAATTCTACTCAGAAGAATCTTAAGCCACAAATTACACAGCCCAATGAAATGCTTAAGAGTTTAAAACATCTGTATTTGGTTAACTTCACTGTTTTTGTCTTTTAATCCATCTAACAAACAAACCAAAATAAACCAAAACCACAGTTCCTAACACTGAATTCAAACCTTCACTTTCTATAGAACCAAAACTCTTTCTACATTCCCAAGAGATTTTTTTTTGATTTTTTTGGTTTTTTTTTGTTTGTTTTTTTGGTTTTTTTTTTTTTCGAGACAGGGTTTCTCTGTGGCTTTGGAGGCTGTCCTGGAACTCCCTTGGTAGTCCAGGCTGGTCTCGAACTTACAGAGATCCGCCTGCCTCTGCCTCCCGAGTGCTGGGATTAAAGGTGTGCGCCACCAACCCCCAGCTAAGAGATTTATTTTTTATCTGTGTGTGAGTAAGTGTATGCCACAGTTTGGGGATGGTGCTGTAGAAGGGGTCAGATCCCCTGGAGCTGGAGTATCTGGCAGCTGTGAGCCATGTGACACAGGTTCTAGGAACCATAACCTGAATCCTCTGAAAGAGTAAGCAAGTACTTTTTTTTTTAAAGATTTATTTATTTATTACATATACAGTGTTCTGCCTGTATGCCAGAAGAGGACACCGGATTGAATTGTAGATGGTTGGGAGCCACCATGTGGTTGCTGGGAATTGAACTCAGGACCCCTGGAAGAGCAGTCAGTGCTCTTAACCTCTGAGCCATCTCTCCAGCCCAAGCAAGTACTTTTAACTATTTATCCATAGCTCCAGTCCTGATTTTGAGACAGCGTTTCATTAGTCATCTTAGATGAACTAGAATTTACTGTAGACCAGTACTGGGATTAAAGGTGAGTTGCCACCACACACCACTCTAATTCAAACTTTTTTTTTTTCTTTTTGAGACAGGGTCTTACTATGTTGCTTTGTCATGAAATTCACTATGTAGCCCAAACTGTCCTTGAACTCACAGAGATCCTCCTACCTCTGCCTCCTGGGTACTGGGATTTAAGGCATGTGCCATTATGGCCCACCTTTAATTCATATTTTTAAAGTGTGTGTGTGTGTGTGTGTGTGTGTGTGTGGTGCTGGAGGCAGATCCCAGGGCCTTATATATGGCAGATGAGTACTCGACTCGAGAACTTCATCCCAGCTCTGATTCAGCTTTCAAGGGCAGCAAGCTTAGCTGTCAAAGTGTCAAAACTCTTAGGACCTCTGGTACAAAAGGTCCCACCTGTATATGTCATTAAGAAGCCTTGATCTAGAAAGAGGAGTGGTCTAGATGAACAGGACACCCAAGTATCAGTCATGTGGGTCACCTGTATCCAAACCTATCACCAAGCTTACACAGCAGTGTCTCATAAGCTTGAAAAGAGTACCACCAGCTTATTATCATTTGGGGCAGCAATCAACCTGGGCTTGGGAAGAGGACATATACAGGATGCCAGAAGAAAGGCCAGTCACATTCACAACTTGTCTTGGATCCAAAGATCTTGAAGGAAGAAAGGCAAAAGCACAATGTGACAGAAAGCTCAGGAACCGTGGGGCCTGTGGCATTGAATTTAGTGGCACTCACAGGGTGGCTTGGGTATGTTGCTCCAGCACAGCTCATAGTTGCATAAGGTCCACAGTCCTGCGTCAAGCTCAAGGCCATTTTCGGACACCAGGAACTGCACCCAGCTCAGTGGGGACGTGCAGATCAGCATCAGGAGGCTAAAGCCAGAGAGACTGGCACCGAACATCCGGGTGTAGGTGTATGCCTGATCCACATACTGTTGCCGCTTCTGGGATGACATCGATTGCTTGTTGGTAGGAAGGGTAGGCTACAAGGATGAGGGAAACAGTGCCCAAGAAGCTAGCCCCAAATTCCCAAAGTGTACTCTCTCTCTTCCTCAATATCCCCATGTCGGCTTGATTAGTACACCGGTTTCCTTACCTCTTGTTTAAAAGTCAACATTTCTAAGATGGTCTTTTCTGTCTACCTCTGTTCTCACATCAAGTCCCCTTCCTTTCCACCCCTCTGACCTTCGGTCTCCTCACCCTTTGGTATTTTCGGTTTCCTTTTATTTTGAAGACCTCAGGAGTGTAGAAGGTCAAGGTTTGTTCCTTCCTGTCCATCTTGGCAGCCAGTTTACTTTCTAACTGCCATGGAATTTGTCTCAACGCCTCCACACACATGGCCAGAAGAATCCTTGGTACAGGGCCTGATTCTCTTTCATTTTTTTTTCTTTCTTATCACATTAGGAAGAAATCACCACTTTGTTCCCCCCCCCCGTGTGTGTGTGTGTGTGTGTGTGTGTGTGTTTGTGTGTGTGTGTGTGTGTAAGAGAGAGAGACAGAGAGAGACACACAGGGAGAGGTGTTCCCTACTTCTCCAATTTTATTAAACAAATTTACACATATATTCTCAGAAGTTGTGTGTCAGGCTTCATGCCAGCCCCTAACATATGAAGATGGAGACATGGTTCTCAGAATAATTTTTAAAAGTGTAACTCCAATTTCAATTGTTTGTGATTACAATTCAAGACTAAGAATGTATCAGGAGCCAGTAGTCAACATAATTCATGCTTTTGCCAGAGCTCTAGAAGAGTCTCGACACAGCTATGAACCTATCAGTCAAAGCCTTTTGTGCAGCACCCTTTCCCTCTCTTCCCCGCTCTGGTTCCTTCTTTTATTTTAATTAATTTAAGATTTTTACTAGCATGAGTCTGTGTGTCTGTGTGTGTGTATGAGAGGTGTTTTGGGGCATGCATGTAGCAGAGAGTCCATTCTTTCCTTATACCTTTGAATGTGTCCTGGGAATCTATCTTGGGTCACCAGGCTTCAATTAAGTGCCTTTGCTCACTGAGTCACCCCATTGTCCTCTCGTTCTTTCTTTTCAGTATCGATGTTCATGTAAGGACACTCTCCTCTGACACACGGCTGCAAGGACCCATTGCCCTGGATACTAAAATCAGATGTGCTCAAAGTGACCACTCTCTAAGACGCTGTGGTGGTGCTAGGTTCTACATGAACACGAAGATTTTCCCTGGCCCACCTCAGCTGATGACCTAGTGACACTTGTCTCCTTTTTAAACAATTGTCTACATCTGATCCTAACCCTCACCTCCTAAGAACTCAAAAAGTCAAAGATGCAGTGCAGATGGCACTCTGTCCTTCAGATGGATGGCTGTGTCAAATCAACACTGCCATATCACCACCTCCTGTACACATATAAACACTGTCCCTAAATCTGGTCTGAATCTAGATGCCTGGTTATAAGTTTCTCCTAGCACACCCTCTTCCCAACTCCTATGACCTGTTGAAGCCTGTTCTGTATTTTGGCTGGTGAGAACCACTAGTTCTATACTAGTTCATGTCCATGCTGTAGCATGCAGACTTCCGTGTGTATGAGCGATGTATTTGTATGTGACATGTATCCACATGTGTGTACCTGTGAGTACATAAGGAAGCCATATGTTGACATTAGTTGTCTTCCTTAGTCGAATGCACCTTATTTTCTTTTTCTCTCACTAAACTTGGATCTTGCCAATATGGCTAGACTGGCCTTACTGGACCAGGGAGACTAGTATCTCTACCTCCCCAGCACTGGGGTTACAGATGCATGCCCCTGCTCCAGGCTTTGTGTGTGAGTATTGGGTATTGAACTTGGGTCTTCTTGCTTGTATGACAAACACTTCCTTTCTCTAAGGTTTTTGTTTATTTTTATGTTTAATGATGTGTGTACATGTGTTGGTATGTGCACATCAGCAAAGGTGTCTCCAGAGACAAAAAGAGAATGTCAGATCTCTTGTGAGCTGTCTGATGTGGGTGCTGGGAACTAAACTGGATTCTCTAGAAAAGCAGCAGCCTGAGGGTTTCCTTTTCTGAGCTATCAGCCCCCTCCTCTGGTATAACACAGGCTGATCCCATACTCATGATCCTCCTGAACCTGCATCTTGTACATTGCCAACTAGCAGGAACCAACACTGTCAGTCAGACTTCCTTCTTCCAGAGTACTATTTAACTTTCCTGGCCTGGAAACAGAGTATGAATGGCTGGAAAACCAATACACTTTTAGACAAATCACAGAGGTTGGTACAGAGGAGAGCATGGTTAACACTATCAGAAGAAAAGTAGAGAAGAGGGCCGGGCGTTGGTGGCGCACGCCTTTAATCCCAGCACTCGGGAGGCAGAGGCAGGCGGATCTCTGTAAATTCGAGACCAGCCTGGACTACCAAGGGGAGTTCCAGGACAGCCTCCAAAGCCACAGAGAAACCCTGTCTCGAAAAAACCAAAAAATAAAATAAAATATAGCTTCCAGACCTCTTCTCTACTTTTCTTTTCTTTTCTTTTTTTTTTTTTCTTTTGGTTTTTTGAGACAGGGTTTCTCTGTAGCTTTGGAGGCTGTCCTGGAACTCCCCTTGGTAGTCCAGGCTGGTCTCGAATTTACAGAGATCTGCCTGCCTCTGCCTCCCAAGTGCTGGGATTAAAGGCGTGTGCCACCAACGCCCAGCTGGAAGCTATATTTTAAAGGAATTTCTCAGGCATTTAACATGCAGAACATTTGGGGCAAAGATATATGCCAATGCAGGAAGCCATAAACAGCCTCAGGTGCCCATGGCACTAGTAGTGTGACTCTACTAGGTATAAAATAAAGGTTACAACTAAGTGTGCTGGCTCACATCTGTAATTTCAGCTCTGAGGAATCAGAGGGAGGAGGATCACCCATGAGTTTGAAGCCAGTCTGGGCTACAGAGTAAGTTCCAGGCCAGCCTGATAAAGAGTGAGATGCTGTCTAAAAATATAAAACAAATAGAAAACCCATACATTGCTTACCATAACTGATGGTGAGAATTTTTGCTGAAGACACCACATACTTTGGTTGTAAGATGTAGAACACAGGAAATCAGTCAGGACCTGACCTTGGAATGTCATTTCTGCTGGCTAGCTTTCATAAAACCAGCAAATACTTTTCAGGCTGCTGGGAGAGAAAAGACATCAACAATCTTACCCAGCACTGGATCCTGGTAAGATCCAGGTAATGATTATGAGATCAACTACCCTCTGCTGTCTCTTCAAGCTTGCTTAAATATAGTCTTGGCACAGGCCACACTGAGACAGATGAAATACTAATATTGGTGGAAAAACTGTTACCCCTGGGATCCCTTCAGTACTGGCATTAACCAAGCACACCACCAAACAGATGATGTTGATGTAATGTGGCGTATCAGGCCATTTGCAAACAGTGACTAATTTCTTGAATAATGTAACACTCTAGCCATTAAAGGAACAGGTTAGCACCATCCAATCCTCAGGCCTGCTCTCAGTGCTACCCCAAAGGGGCAGGACACTGTGACTAGCTAGGAACTTGCTAGGGTCTGTGATAAGGATAACAAAACAAGCATGTAAATCTGTTGACTATGTATACTGTCATCTAGTATACCTTCAAGCCATTATTGTTTTGAAAAGCAGTTTTGTTAGAAGAAAATATGGAGTGACATCTTTTTTACTCTGAAAAGGCCAATGCTTAAAAAAGACAGTTAAAAAATAAGCTGCAGCCAGACGTTGGTGGCACACACCTTTAATCCCAGCAGGGATGAAGCAGAACCAAGAAGATCCCTGGGGCTCACTAGGCTGCCAACTCAGTCCTATGCAAGCTGTAAGATACAGCGAGAACCTGACTTTTAAGAAAAGGCCAGTGCCAACATGTACGGTTGACCCCTGACCTCCAGGGGCATGTGCTTACAGATGAATGTACACCTGCACACACAGGGACACATAAGAATTGATGTCCAGCTTTAGATACTTTCGGTGATATTTCCTGTGCTGGGGCTTGGGCCTAAAGTTAGAAATAAGGTTATTTTGGGGGGAAAGCTGTTGGTTCCTGTGTGGCTGAATTGGTAAACTGAGGCTCCTACTTTCTACACACATTATTGTGATGACTGAATTTTAAAAATGCATATGATTTTTATAATACAGAAGTGAAGCCAGGCAGAATTGGCACATACCTTTAATCCCGGCACTTGGGAGGCAGAGGCAGAGGCAGGTGGATCTCTTGAGTTTGAGGCCAGCCTGGTCTACAGATCTAGTCCAGAACAGCAAAGGCCAGAACTGACAGTCAACACCACTCTCCTTTAAGAGATGCTGTTCCCATTCGCATCTCCTCCCAAGAGTGGTGTTGTCTGTCTCTGTTTGAGACAGGGTATCATATAGTCTGGATCGGCCTTGAACATGCTACATAGCCGAGGATGAACTTAAATTTCTTTTTAAAATATTTTAAATTGTTTTCAAATTTATGTGTATATCTGTATGAGTGTATACCACACGTGTGCAGGTGTCTGCAGAGGCCAGAAAAGGGTATTGGGTCACCTGGAACTGGGGTTTCAAGAAGTTTATAACCGTCTGATTGCAGGGAACTGAACTTGTGTCCTCCAAAAAAGCAGCAAGTGCTCTCAGTCACTAAGATGTCTCTCTAGCCACTGACCTTGAATTTCTGAGTATTCATAGACTGCATCTCTCTCTCTCTCTTTCTCCTCCTGCCTTATATTCCTCTCTCCACCTAGCCAAATCACTCCTGTCTCCACCTCCAGAGTGCTGAGATTAAAGATGTGTGCCACCACTGGCTGGCCTCTACGGTTAACTAGTGTGGCTAGCTCTGCACTCTGATCTTCAGGCAAGCTTTGTTAGATCATAAACAAAATGTCACCACAGGAGAATTTCACATTTCATGCCAGCTTTGGCTTATGTAGTAAGAAGAGCCTCTGATTAAATAGGAAGAAAGGAAGAATGGAGGGAGGGAGGGAGAGAGGGAGGGAGGAAGAGGTTGAATAAATGCCTCAGCAGTTAAGAGCACTGTCTGCTCTTTCACAAGACCTGAGCTCAACTCCCAGCACTCATGCTGAGTGGCTCAAAACTGCATGTAACTACAGTTTCAGTGGATACAACGCCCTTTTCTGGCCTCCAAGGGCACCTGCAGTCACAAGTGCATTCAACACACATAAATCTTTTAATGTAATATTTAAAAAGAGATAAGAAAGAAGACAAAGGGAAGATGAAATATATAATTATAACAGTGGCACATATTTATGTTACAAAATGAAAAAGAGAGGATCTACAGGGGAGCACACACCCCCACTACACTTAACCACCTCCAGAAGCAGTCAGCATTACCAGTTACATACACCCGTTTCTGAGACTTCATGGAGAAATAGACATTCTGTGTGCTTGCTCCTTTGAGTAGCATTTTTCTTTATGAAGCC